CCACCTTCTTGGGGTGCCCCTCCTCTCCTGAGTCCACCTTCTTGGGGTGCCCCTCCTCTCCTGAGTCCACCTTCTTGGGGCTTGCACCAGCATTTCAAGCACAGCAGCACCGTCAAGGAAAGGTGATAGAGACTTCACGGCAGGAAAAGCACTGGACACTGTGAGGTCTGATGATCATGATCATCTTCATTATTGCAGAAGTAGTACGAGGTCATTGTAGGAACTTGAAAAAATGCAGGAAGTTAACAAGTCGATACTGGGTAGTGGTTCAGCTCATCTCTTATGCACAGACTTAATTTTTTATTAAAAAAATGGTATCATACCTGTGTATGGCATTATTCCAGCTTTTAAAAAATGTTTGCTGTTAAGATATATTGAGAATACCTTTTCACATAAAACATCTAATTGTACAGTTTTAGGTCTTAATGAAATATACATTATAATGATATGAAAATTGCCCATTGCACATCTAGTTAGGACTAATGACATGGTAAGAAGCCCTCCTGGTGCTACGGTTAAGCACTCATCAGCTAACTGAAAAGTCAGCAATGGGAACCCACCAGCCGCTCTGTGCGAGAGACCTGGCAATCTGTTCCCACAAAGATGACAGCCTTGGAAACCCTATGGGGCTGTTCTACTCTGTCCTGTAGGGTCACTGTGAGTCGGAATCGACTCGACAGTACACAACAGCGACAATGGCATGATACTTTAACATTTTTGTCCTAAACTCCACTCTCACGTCAAAAGGTTAAGTGCCCAAAACGAGAAAGATGAGGAACAGAAAACTGCGTGTTACCTGGAGGCGTGTGACTTGACCCAGGGAGCCGTAGCTGAAGAAGAGGAGCTATTCCACAGGATTCAGGGGCTGCTGGCCCTTCAAGACGTAAGTGTGTGCTGCTCACGTGTCTGCACCTCTGGTCATTGCCATCGGCATGTAAATGCGCACTCCTGTATCTTGTCTAGGAGCCCTTGGTTAAGTGCTCCTTGGTTTAGTGCTTGGCTGCTAACTGAAAGGTCAGTGGTTTAAACTCACCTGCTGTTCCACGGGAGAAAGATGTGGCAATCTGCTCCTATAAAGATCACAGCCCAGGAAACCTGATGGGGAAGTTCTACTCTGTTCTATAGGGTCACTATGAGTTGGAGTTGACTTGACACATGACACCACTACCACTAACAACATGTCCTATAAACACATATGTGTCATATCATATCTCTGCACCTCTTTGGTCATTTCCATCAGCATATAAACGCACACTCCTATATCGTATCTTAAAAACAAGCCAGTCAGCTCCCACTGCTGGCTGAGATCCGGCAACATCCAAAGCAACCAAAGCTGGACAGAATATACAAAACACAGACTTTCCAAGCACCGGATATCAGACAGTGATGGATAGTGGCTCCTGAGAGCAGGGAGCCCCACACATGCTCAAGCTCACTGCAGCCCTGGGGAGGGAAGCCCTGGGTCCTGATGACCACCGACTTGAGGAGATGTAGCCAAGAACCCAGGGGGAACAGACAGCTGGAGCTGGCAGGAGAACGTGAGAAAGGAAAGTCCAGATGGCCTTACTGGTAAATTCTACCAAACATTTAAGAAAGAAATAATACCAATTCTAGGCAAACTCTTCTAGAAAATTGAAAAGGAGGGCATACATCCCAACTCTTTTAGGAGGTTAGCATTACCCTAATAACGAAAGAAGATGACATTACCAAGACCCTCCCAAAAACAAAAAGCTACGGACAGGTATCTTTCATGAATATAGATGCAAAAATTCTAAACAAAAATTTAGCAAATTAAATCCAACAATATATAAAATGGATAATACATCATGACCAAGTTGGGTTTATCTCAGTAATAGTTTAACACTCAATCAATTTAGCTCTCCATATTTTGAAAAAAATAAAACCTACATGATCATCTCAGTAGATGCAGGAAAAACATTTGACAAAATCCAACATCCATTCCTGATTTGAAAAAAACTCTTAGCAAACTCATCGTAGAAGGGATCTTCCTCAAAATAAGGGGCATCTATGAAGAAACTAGAGCTAGCATCATACCTAATGGTGACAAACTGAATGATTTCCCCCTTAGATCAGGAATAAGACAAGGATGTGCCTTGTCACCACTTCTATTCATCATTGTACTGGAGGTTTTAGCCAATGCATTAAGACAAAAAAAGAAATTAAAAGCATCCAAATTGGAAAGGAAGAAGTAAAACTGCCTTTGTTCTCAGACAACATCATCATCTGTATAGAGAATCCTATGGAATCTACCAAAAACATAAACACTACTAATACTAATAAGTGAGTTTAATAAGGTTGCAGGACACAAGAACAATATGGACTGCCAAAAAATGAATATATCTGTTTTGGAAGAAGTACAGTCAGAATGCTCCTTAGAAGCAAGTACAGCGAGACTACGTCTCACACACTTTGGACATATTATCAGGAGGGATCAGTCCTTGGAGAAGGACATCATGCTTGGTAAAATAGAGGGTCAGCGAAAAGGGGGAAGACCCTCAACAAGATGGATTGACACAATGGCTGCAACAATGAGCTCGAGCATGGCAGTGATTGTGAAGATGGTGCAGGACCAGGCAGTGTTTCATTCTTTTGTACATAGGGTCGCTAGGAGTCAGAACCGACTCGGCAGCACCTAACAACTACAGGAATAAGCAATCAAATACTGAAATGTAAAAAAAATACCATTTACAATAGCATAAAAAATATGAAATTTGACAAAAGATGTGAAAACTTGTACTCTGAGAACTATAAAACATTGCAGAGAGAAATTAAAGATGTCCTAAATAAATGGAGAGGTATACCATGTTCATGATCAGAAGACTTACTATTGTTAATATGTCAATTCACCCTAAATTATCTATAGATTCAATACAGTCTTATGAAGATCACAGCAGACTTTTTTTATAGAAATTGACAAAATGATTTTAAAATTCATATGGAAATGCAGAGGACCTAGAATAACCAAGACGACTTTGAAAAAAAAGGAACAAAGTTGGAGGTCTAGTACTACTTGATTTTAAGACTTATTATAAAACTACAGTAATCATGAAAGTCTGGTATTAGTGTAAAAGTAGATAAACATCAATGGAACAGAATAGAGAATCCAGAAATAGACAAACACATGCGGACAGCTGGTTTTCAACAAAGGTGTAAAGACAATTCAGTGAAGAAAGGATAGTCCTTTAAACAAATGGTGCCATAACAATTGGAAATCTGTATGTGAAAAACTTAACTTTTACTCAAAGTGGATCATAGACCTAAATTTAAGGGCTAAAAGTATAAAAATTTTAGAAGAAAACATTGGAAAATACCTCTGCGACCTGGTGTTTGCAAATTTTTCTTTGCTGTTACACCCAGAGCATGATCCATTAAAAAGCAAATTGATAAATTGGACTTTTGCTCTTTCAAATGACACGGTTAGGAAAATAAAAAGACAAGCCACAGACTGGGAGAAAACATTAAAAAATCATATATCTGATAGAGGACTTGTATCCAGAATATGTAAAGAACCTTCAAAACTTAAGAAAACAAACAACCCAATGAAAATGGGCAAAATATTTGACAGACATTTCTCCAGAGAAACTATATGGATGGTAAATACGCTTGTGAAAAGCTGATGGACATCACCAGTCATTAGGGAAATACAAATAATAACCCTAATGAGAAATCACCGCACACTGGTTAAAATAGTTCCGATTAAAAGACTGAGCACACCAAGTGGTGGTGAGGATGTGGAGGAACTGAAGCTCTCGTTCCCTGCTGGTGGGAATGTAAAATGGTGCCACCACTTTGGAAAACAGTTTGGCAGTTTCTTAAAAAGTTAAACATACACCTGCCCTACGACCCAGTCGTTCCACTCCTGGGTATTTACCGAAGAGAAATAAAAAAACATGTCCACACCAAGTCTCGTACATGATTGTTCATAGAAGATTTATTGGCAAAGCAAAAAACTGGAGACAGCAAGTGGGGAGCGGATAAACAGACGGGAATCCTATTCAGCAGGAAAAAGAAATGAGGGGTCGGCACACACAGCACCTGAGTGAACTAAACCAGACCCCGGCCACACAGTCGTTGTCTAGGGAGGGTGGTAGGTGCTGGCAGAGGGAGGAGGGAGGGATTACAAAGGGACATGAGAAAATTTGGGGGTGATGGACATGGTCATTATCCTAATTGTGATGGTTTTATGGGTGTATACAAGTGTCAGAACTTACTGCATTTTATGTTCAGTACATGGATTCATTGTGTGTCCATTGTACCTCAGTGAAGCTGCTTTAAAACGCAGCTTCTGGTCGGGCCGCTTCCTCCCACTTTGACCTCAAGCCTGGCCATTTCAGCTGCAGAAGGTGAACACTCCCCTGATGAGGAAGCTTGCTCACCTCAAGCTCAGCCTTGCAGAAGTGTCTCTGGACATGCTTCAGCTCATCTGGGAGGAGACCCTGGAGCAGCATTTCGAGCAAGGGTCGATGGATAAACTGCTGGAAGAGTACCTGCAGAACGCCAGCGACTACACGTCTGTCGGCCTGGTAATTCCCAGCCCCATCCTCGTCTCAGATGGTCGATGAGAGGCCTAAACGGCCAGAGCTGCACAATCCTGACACGGGCTCAGGGGAAGTTCTCCTTCCAAGGAGGGCGTTATCGGGACCGTCCCTGAGTCCCCATCACTGGGCGCTGGCAGTGAGAGGGTTAACCCTGGGAGTGCGAGGAGCCCGCAGTTCACTGAGCGTCCCTGGAGGCCCACGACCACAGGTGTCTCCCTGGAGGCCCACGACCACAGGTGTCTCCCTCCCACCAGCTGCTAGCAGCCTGTGGGCTTCCAGGCTTGCTGAGAAAGGCATTCTCAAACAGAAGAATTTATTGTTGAACATGGAAAGTTTATGACCTCTGTCTGTCTTTCTAGCTGATCATTGGAGGGGACTTAATTGGCTAATAAAATGCAGGTCTTATTGGGAGATGTTTCCTGTGAGACATTTATAGCTTTCCTTCCCGAGTCACCAGCTCGGGAGCAGATGAAAGAACTTGTAACACTGCATTACAATTTGTTAAAAAAGACAAAGTTGAATTTGAAAAATACCATTTGTTTTGAAGGAAACATATTCTTCCATTTTAGGCACTTTCTTAGATTTCGCGAAGTATGAATCAGATTAACATCACATAAATTTAAATTGACCAAAAATAGTCCTGAAATTGAACTTGATAACTCGTGTGTTTGTCAGTGAATGAATTTGGTCAAATTTGCCTGAAGCTTAAGTGAGCTATCCAGTACCCAAACCCTGGAGACACCCCCCGGGGGCAGGTCCCTACAGAGCAGGGGGCATTTCTTGGAGGCCCTGGAGACCCCACCCCGGAGGCAGGTCCCCGCAGAGCAGGGGGCAGTTTCTTGGAGGTGTGGCCTCACGACTCCTGGGTGGTGCTCAAGGGTTGCTGACCGCGTTCCCTGGGGGTGAGGTGCCTTGTCCGTCACGGTGGTGATGGGGGCTTGGTTTGTGTTCCTGAAGAAATGGTTCACGCTGAAGCGGACTCTGGCCCACATCACGCTGGCCCAGCTGAGCAGCCTGCAGCCGCTGTGCACCAGCTGTGCCGAGATCCGTGCCCGCATGCTGGGCCTGGCCGGGAGGGCCCTGCACCTGCTGGCTGTGAACATGAGCCCCTTGCGCCCAGCCTTCTGTTGGGATGAGAGCCTCCTGGTACGTGCCCTGCCCGGCTCAGTCTGGGCCTCGGACCTGACCCCAGTGGGGAGGCACCGCGACATGAGGGTGTGTCCTGGTGGGGTGCTGGCTGTTCACAAGGAAGCACATGCATTTAGAACACACCTCACCTCCAGACTGAGGACTGGGGTGTGGAGATGCGTCATGTAAATGTCCCCACCCGAGAACGGGGTGGCCTGAGGGAGGGCGAGGAAGCTGAGACGCAGTCGGGAGAGCAGTGCGGGGACCCAGGTCTCTGGAGACAGGCCTGTGGGGGCATATGGAAGAAGAGGGGGCTGCACACGGGGGTCGAAGGATAGGGCAGGGACACCCGTGCCAAGTCCCAGCCCCCAACAGTCGTGTCTCCTGACACCGCTGTCCTCACCTGGGTTCCTGTTCTGGGTGCTCATGGGGTCCCTGGCCTGGAGCAGGGCTGGGCTTTGGGGTGATTCTGATGGGCGGCAGGGTGGGAGGAGCCAGCGACCCCAAGAGCCCAGTGAAGCCGAACCAGAAGCCTCAAGGCCACGGCCCGCTCACCCCAGCAGAGCACCCTCAGGAGCCGAGCCCCCAGCTGGGACCCCCAGGGGCAGTGCCTTCCTGCAGTGGTGCAGACCCCAAGGGACTGCAGCCATCCGTCAGCCACGGTGTCAGCAGGTCAGAGCTGCACGGTGTAGTCCAGGGGCTCAGCTGAGGGCTTCCCCCTACACAGCACTGAGCGCTTCGGGCTCCCAAGCTCCAGGCAGTGGGACCTGAGCCCCAGCCGGCAGTGTGCATGGACTGCGGAGGGCCAGGCAGAAGGCTGCTCTCTGGGTGGTTAGAATAAAGTCAGGGCTCCACCTGAAAGGCAGGATGGGGGTGCTTCTCACCTGGACAGGGAGTGGGAAGCGGCCGGATGAGGGGAGGCCTGGGCGCCCCTGCCCGGGGGTGCAGGCTGGTGACGGCAGAGAGAGCGGTCGCCATACCTGAGGCGGGCGCTGGGCCAAGGGAGCAGCTGGGGGCTGGTTGGAGCCCATGTGCAGGGAAGAACCCAGCTGGACCCGGGAATGCAGTGATGCCCGGGCCCAGGGCAGCAGCACCTCCTCGCAGCGTTGTTCTCATGCCGGGGCCCCAGAGGATTAGACCAGACTGGGGGTGGCCCAGGAGACCCCACAGCATGAGAAGCAGGGTCACAGCCTCAGCACACGCACCCCAAAGAGACGGCATGGCCGCGGCCCCTCCCCGGTTCTCTAGGTGGAGGCCAAGCTGAGCAGCCTCAGGTCTCCGGAGGTGGAGGGAGAGGAGGGGGACGGCGTGGAGTCCAGCCGGGACCTGCCGGCCTCCAGAGCACAGCCTGAGGGGCACAGCAAGAAAGGCGCCGACCTGAAGGTACCCGCCCCCACCCTGGTCTGCGGGAGCCCGAGGCCGCGGAGTCTGACACCCCCGCCCCCATCCTGGCCCCGCAGAGGAAGATGGCAGTGGCACAGCGGTACCTGGCCCAGGCATCCGAGGTTCTGCTACAGGGCCTGCAGGCGGCACTGGGCGCCGGGATCCTGGAAGTGGCGGCGGCAGCCAGCCTGGAGATGGTGGAGTGCGTGGGCACCCTGGACCCCACCACCACCCTCCAGTTCTTGGCGCTGTCTCAGGTACCTTCCCAGTGCACCTGGCCGGGTGGAGGGGCCCCAGAGCCCCAGAGACCCCTACCCAGGGAGCAGTAGGGACTGGTTGGGTCTGGAGCCATGTCCCCTGAGGAAGGGGAGTGTGGTGGTGCCTTTGAGATGCTCGGAGTCTCAGCCTCGTGTCCCTGAGCCCTGCCCCACTATTGGGGTCTTGCTGTCATCCCACAAGCAGCGCAAGCCTGCCAAACCTGTGTCCTTGCGTCCCTGTATCCTGAGCCCCCAGTGTGCGGGGGCACCGGGCTCTGCAGCCCCCCTGGGCCCAGGTGAACAACACACATGGACACCTTCACGGTCTCTTTCAGAGCTGCACAGCCTCAGAGATGATGCAGGGTGTCCTGCTGGCCGCCACGGCCGACACCGGTAGCTCTCAGCTCGCTGCCCTGCTGCAGCTGCAGCATTGGCTGAAGCGCCAGGGCAGGACGGCCACCAGCCTGTTTGCCAGCGTGGAGCAGAGGCTGGCCACCACCTCCAAGGTGAAGGGCCCCAGGAAGGAATAGATAACCCAGGAAGCAAGGGACGCATGGGCTTCCTTGTGCTTACTTACTAATCTGTAGTGCACAGTTTCAACGATGTGGTGGAACCCATGCGAAGGTGTGCACTACAGATGAGTAAGTAAACGCAAGTAAGCCCGTGTGTACCTTGCTAACTGGTTAATGTGCCCCTGGCCGCCGGGGATGGCGCACGCCTGCCCCCTAGAGCCTGCAGATGCACCCACTTTCTTTCCAGTTTCAGTCCCCATGAAGGAGCTTGTAAAGCCACCTGGCTCGCATTCCCCAGCCGGGGGGCTCCGGTGGTCATATCACCCCTCAAGGCTTCGGTTTCCTGGGGACAGGGATGGGACAGCCCACCTCGTGGGGCTGTAGGGCACGTCAGTTAGCAGTCATACACACCCAGGGCCTGACACCGAAGACTACTTGTGTGTGCATGTGCCCGTGTGCATGTGTCTGCAAGTGTGCACGTGTGTGCATGTGTGTACATGTATTTGCACGTGTGCAGGAGCACATGTGTGCATCTGTGTCTGCATGTGCACACAGACCTGTGTCTATGCATGTGCGTCCATGTGTACACTGGGTCTACGTGTGTGCATGTGTCTGTATGCATGTCTTCATGTACGTGTGTGGCTGTATGCACGTGTCTGTACCTGCATGTTTTGTCTGCATGTGTGGTGTGGAGGAGACAGCGGGGAGAGGACAGAGCGGAAGACCGTGCCAGCAGAGGCGGGACTGGAGCATGTTCAACGTTTATTCTGGTTTTGGTTCACATGTCACGCGTGCTTTGTTGTCACCAGACCAGTTTCCTGACATTAACAGCTGGAGAGTCAGTGACTCACGTGTACCTGCTGCCCCCTTGTGGCAGCTGCAAGTCCTGCAAGGGCTCCCAGCCGGGGTCCGCGCATCTACAGCCCCCGCCCCCACCCCAGGGTCAAGGCCTGCAGTCCTGCCCATTGAAACCTAGAGCTGTGCCCACATCTCATGCAAAGCTGTGAAAACAGCACGGCGCTTTGTTCCTGCATCCTAAGATGGTTGACTGTATCACATCTGTGACAAGGCAGGCTTGGCAGAATCTCCAGGTCACTGAACAACACTTCAATCTCCTGAGTGAAGTTCCTCCCATGTTCCGGGTCCTCTTCCTGCACCATTCACGAGACAGGTAAGCCTCTTGTGTCCCCCCTTCTCCTCTGCACAGGAGCAGTGGGGAGCTGTCCTGGGGAGTGAAAGGCACGTAGTGGGTGTCGAGTCCCGCCAGGGGCCCTGGCAGTGAACGCTAGGTGGGCAGGCATAGCTCCAATCTGAGGTGGGGGGTGGGGGCCGAATTCCTCCCTGTCCCCCAGGCCTCCCACTGACTATATGAGGCCCCAGTGGGCTGAGGGGTTGGGGGCGTCGTGCCCAGCCTCCTTGTCTCCAGCACAAGATCCCTGAGGGTCACGCTACTGTCGGGCAGGGAGAGGGAGAGCTCCCTTTGCCTCCCTCTCGCCGTGGAGAGGATGTCCATCTGGGCTGGCTGTGGTGGTGGAGCCGTGACAGCAGCTGAGAACACGCTGGTGCCTGTGCTGACTTACTCTGTGGCCTGGCCGAGTGTCCCGGGAGCCCGAGCTCCTGCGATACTGCTGTCATTGCCGTGGTGACAGGACCAGCAGCGCCTCGGGGGTCCTGGTGCTCCCCAAGGTCCCATACACACGCTCTGAGGTGCTGCCCCCTGGGGCATGCCCATGAAGTGCCCGTGATCGGCCGGCTCCTCCCTCAGGTCCCGTCTGTATGGCGCTGTATACGAGAGGCCCAAGCTTATTCCCACACCGAAAGGAAAGCAGCTCCCCACAGGGGGTGAGTCCCTGCTCCGGACGAGGGTCAGCGAGCCTGCGAATGGGTGTCCCCAAGCTCCTGGGCAGCAGGGCACCAAGAAGGATGTCCTGCCCTCCAAGGGTCGTGGGACAGACCCACGCTGGGAGCAGCTGGACCGGGTCCCACCAGGACGCCACAGCAGAGACAGCAGACGAGGACGGGGCTGTGGGCGGTTCCCTGGGGTCACACAGCAGGCTCTTCCCACCCACTGGGCTGCACTGGCCTTTCTTACTCTTGTGGCCAGAACCAGGGACCTCTGTCTCCTGGCACCGTCTCAGGGTGGGAGCTGGCAGCCCCCACCCCCAGCGCTGTATCTTGGAGATGCCACTGTCCTGGATACTGCCTCCTGTAAGCAGCAAGCGTGCCGAGGGCCCTTCTCACTGGAAGGGGACCACCAGACCCCTGCTTCTCCCCCAAGCTCTCCCCAGCCCCCTCCCTGGTTGAGTCTCTGCACTTGCTCAAATGTGCCAGCTCATGTAAGACCATGTCCACTCGGGCCTGAGCCACCAACGCACCCGGCCAGCACGTTCCCTGTGAGCCCGTGGACCCTGAACATGTCTCCCCACCACTGTGGAGGACCCCAAGATGTGGAGCTGAGACCCAAGTTCTCCCAGCCACCCAGGCCCAGGGGGCCGAGGCCAGCGGGGTTTGGCCCTGCCTTTGCCTTTGGATGCCACTCTAATGGAGCAGGCAGCCACCCTTCCCCTCAAAACACGGGCCTCACAGTGTCCAATCCTCTTCACAAAGACCTCACAGCGTCCACTCCCCTCACACATGGACCTCACAGAGTCCACTCCCTCACACACAGACCTCACAGCGTCCAGCCCCTCACACACAGACTTCACAGTGTCCACTCCCTCACACACAGACCTCACAGGGTCCACCCCCTCACACACAGAC